AGTCTAACAAAAATCCTTAATACATGCTCATAAAGCCTGGACGACTTAGTAGAAGACTTTTAATTAAGTAGCCTAGAAATTCATCCAGCTCGAAGACCTTCCAGATGACTTAATTATTAGTCGGATGAGAAGTCTAACACAAATCCTTTATACATACTCATAAAGCCTGAACGACTTAGTAGAAGACTTATAATTAAGTCGTTTAGAAAGTCATCCAGCTGGAAGACTTTCTAGATGACTTAATTATTAGTCGTCTGAGAAGTCTAACACAAATTCATAATACATACTCATAAAGCCTGGACGACTTAGTAGAAGACTTGTAATTAAGTAACACAAATTCTTAATACATAGATTCATAAAACAAATTCTTAATACATAGTTTCATAACACATATTCTTAATACATAGATTCATAACACAAATTCTTAATACATAGAGGACGATTTAATTAAAGGTCATTCTTTGCATTGTGCTTTTGTATGGCCAGTTTCGCTGAATACTAAGCATCTATAAACCTTGTGTTGCTTCCGGGGTTTGCGTCCTCTCATCCGGGATAGCTCCAACCAAGATTGACATCTTGATTTCTTCTGTCTCCCCGGACCACGCTTTTCGGCCGGAGGATCTCATGTGCGTTCCTCAACTTGTTGTCAAGCACAAGGATATATACTCTGAGTATCCTGCAAACAAGTGAATCTTTAAGTACACTGGATGTACAAGTGTGGAGATATGCACACGAGCATGTGATCCAGCAGCTCTAGCATGAGAGCAAGGTATTTTCTCCACTTGATAGACACCACAATCATACTTTCCATTTTTCCAAATCAACCACACAGTCTATTTTGCCACCTTTCACAAAGAATTTCCATCCATCAATTGGTTGAGCCCTCATCGTATCTGTTATCTTCGATCGAACATCAAGCAAGTGTTCAACACCTCGACTATGATCTGTTAGGAGACTAAAAGCATCTTCTCTCCTTTTCCAAAACCAGTTTCCTAGCTTCTCCCTTATGAACTCCAACAGGAACTGAATCGAAAATCCTCTAGCTCGCTTCAGTGCGGAATTAATAGATTCCGCGATGTTGCTTGTTTTTATGTTGTACCTGTCCCCTTGACAATAAACCCTTGACCATAGGCTAACGTCGGCATTCTACAAATACGTTGCAAGGTCTGAGTTTGCACTCCGTATCTCAGCCATGTACCGGTCAAAATCTGAAACCGTATGAGCATAAGCATTACCTTTCACCAAGTACAAGAAATGTTTCTCTTTATAATTTTTGAAAATGTTATCTTGAAGGTGATAATAACATATTCCTCGGGTTTCCCAAGGAAAAACCTTATCACACACAATTTTAATAGCCGTGTGCTGGTCGGAGACTATCACAGAGGCTGCTCATCAGATACATAAGTAGCCAATTTTGTGAAAAACCATTCCCATGAAGATTCATCTTCAGCATCTACGATCCCAAAAGCCAATGAAAATATCGAAAATATTCCTATCTTGTGCGGCTGAAACTAACAAAACACCTTCATACTTCCCACTTAGGTGAGTCCCATCCACCACAATGACTCTTCTCTAATACTTAAAACCTTTCCTAGAAGCTCCAAAAGAGAGAAATATATACTTAAATCTATTGATGGAATCAAGTTCTATAGCCATGGTAGAATCAGGATTTGCTATGGAGATTTGCTCGATATATTGTGGCAGACGCGAATATCCATCTTCTGCTGATCCTCTCACCAATGTTTGTGCATATAAAAGTGCTCTGTATGAAGTGGCGTAATCAAGCGTCATGCCAAACATGTTCTTCATTGTATCAGTGATATGTTGCGGAGTCAACCCATCAATGCTTCCAACACGATCAATGAAAAGCCTACACCAACATACTTCGGAGTACAGTGTCTCCGCTGAGCGATTTGTTCTCCCACTGAGCATGTATGTGTTTCCACATACTTTGTTACCCAAAACGTGTTTGTCTCATGTTTCACCCTCGCTCTGATCTTCCATCCACAACCACTAACCTGACATGTTGCCACAAGGAGAGTTTTCGTTTACTTGTATATTCTGAAGGATATGCCTCACTGTTGTTAACCGCAGCTCTGAAAACAGTGCATCCTTGCTAACAAAACTCTGGTTGACATAGATACTGTTAGCATCCTCCTTCATTAGCATATGTCTTTTTGAATTCTTCAAAACACATATCATCATCTTCTTCCTCATCATCATCTTTAACCTTTCTATAAACACTGTAATCCTCACCATTCTCGTCCGATTCGGCAACAATAGAGATATCATCATCCTCCTCCCCATCATCCTTCTCCCCATCATCCTCCTCCCCATCATGATTTTTATTTTTAACCAAATCATCATCATCATTTTCAAAACATTCATCAGCTTCTTCCCTTTCCTCTGAAACCGTTTCCACCTTGCTGCGGCTTGATACACAAAGCAGTAAATCGTCTGGAAGACTTAGACGACTTACCAATAAATCGTCCAAACAAGTCATTTTTTCAATTGACTTTTCAATGGGACGACTTATTTGTAAGTTGTCCAACTTTTTTTGTTAAAAAAAAAACTCTAGACGACTTACCAATAAGTCGTCTGGGATAAACATGTTAATTTTTTATTTGGCTGACTTGTGTCAGATATTTAAATTTTCCTGGACGACTTACCATTAAGTCGTTTCTGGGAAAAAAAAAACTTCAATATTTAATTAAAACTAGACAACTTAGATTAGTCGTCTCAGGTTAGTTTGCAATTCGAAAAAAAACTGTTAAATATTTTACTTTTCCTAGACGACTTGCTTGAATGTTGTCCAGTTTGATGACTTACGAGAAAGTCGTCCGAGATAAGTTCGACCAGAATCTCGGAAAAAAAATCTGGACGACTTTGCTTATTCTAGAAGACTTTCAAGTAAGTCGTCCAACTAGTCGACTTTCGTGTAAGTTGTCTGGGAGAAGTAAAATATTTAAGTTTTATTTTACAATTGAAAAACTAACCTGATATGACTTATTGATAAGTCGTCTACCTTTAATAAAATATTGAAATTTTGTTTTCTCAGAGACGGCATAATGGTAAGTCGTCCATGAAAAGTCAAATATCTGACACAAGTCGGTCAAATGCAAAATTAACCTGTTTATCATAGGTGACTTATTGATAAGTCATCTATGAAATTCTCTAGTTTTTGTTTTTTAACAACAAAAGGTAGACGACTTAGAATTAAGTCGTCTGTTTGAACATAAGACTTACCCGTAAGTCTTCTACAGCCAGACGACTTACGGGTAAGTCTTCTACGCGAACAGATCTGTTAAAAATTTCAATTTCATACCTTAAACTAGTGTGATGACTTCCTTATCACACAAAGTATTCTCCAACCCACCCAGAACCTCAAACGAAAGTAACTCACAAAAAATAGAAACCTTGAATGACTCTATCAATCATAAATTTTTTTGAATCAAAAGCTTGAGTTTTTTGGATGAATATGGAGACAAAGTGAAAGAGATGTTGTTTTTAGTTCATAACAATTGAGAAATAGAGAGTGTAAATCGATTTTAGGTTCATTAAGAGCTTCAAATTGGTTGTTCATAGTAGTTAGGGTATTGATGGCAATAACAATCTTATAAATACTTGAAGATGATGAAGTTGCGAAAGTAAAAAAAAATAATTTTCAAAAAAAAAAAATTGGTGACATTTTCGTAAATAATATGATCAGATGGGATGAATAAAAGTAAAAATAAAAAATAAAGGTTAGTTTTGTGTTTGACTTTGAGTTTTGAGTCAAATTTGCAAAAATCCCGTAAATGTGTTGTTTATTATACTATTTTGGCATCCTATAAAACAACAATAATTAAGAGAATGAGAAAATATCTCTAAATTCAAAAAAAGAAATACATAAAATGAGACATAATTCATGTTTTAGTGTTGAAATCAATCAACCACAACTTTGAAAATCGTTCTACTTATAATCAAATTTAAAGTATAATAAGCATTAAGAAAGAAGCAAAAACAATTGCATTCTCATGATTTTGTTTTTAATAGTGATACATATACATGTTGTTTGTAAACATATATGCCACCTATTACTATTACAAACAAATGAAAATATTGATTTATAAACAAAACATCAAAGGTTAGTGTATTCAAAATTAATGTTAAAAAATTAAAAGTGCTGCACACGAAATTTATATTTTCAAATATTGATATGAAAATCAAAAGTATGCTGCATATGAAATTTATATTTTCAAATATTGATATGAAAATCAAAAGTATATATTTGCACAGTTTAAACAAGAGATTCAATACAAAACAATCAATAAGTAACACATAAACCCATAACTGAAACTAATTGCCTTAAAATAAAATAAATAAATTAAAATATGTCAAAATAAAATAAAAACATAACATAGTCCATTTCCAACCATCTCAACAATCATATTAGGAAATTTAACCTGCTGTAATGAGACTTAGTTGGGTCTTATGACAACAAACAATTTCAACAAAAAGGATGATAAAAATAAAAACAACCATGAAAATAACGACTCACACACGATATAAATCAAATCTTTCAATCTAAAATCAAATTTTAAACGAAAAATTTAATGAAGACAACATTCAAATTCAAGTATTTTGATTTTAATAGTAAATCAAAATAATCCCAAAAATTTTATATGCAAAACCTAGGCACAAACAAGAAAATAAAAAACTTTGGTTTGTAAAATTTTAAACTGCATTACGAGATAACATTTCTACTTCTCCACAAAACTCATTACCTTACACATGTCTTATTTGCTCTTTTTTCCAAATATATAACTATTCTTGACAAGTAAAATCATTTTCATAAAGTATGGCCTGTACTGTAAGACAATAATATTATAGTTGCAGCCGAGCAGTAGACTAAAACAATACAATATGTATTTATCTTTGAGAAGAATAAGTTCACTAGTTGTATGTAAATTACATGACTCTAAAAAGCCAAATCACATCACAAAAAGGATCATCTCCTTTTAGCAAAACTGTGAAGTAAATGAAAGGAAAACCCAAATAAGTATCGACAATAAAGTTACAAATGTTCCGTTAATCACCGAAGAAGCAGATATGAGATTATCTGCTTCGAGTGAGTAAGCAGCTCCTGACCCATCTTTCACTTTGATGCTTGAGGAACCTAACCAAACCAGCACAAAAAAATACATATTGGTTTCTTCGATCTGTCCTGCTTGTTCTCAGTGTGTTAGATACTTACAGTTGTGGTCTGCCCATCCAATGACCTCATTGTCAAGATCGTATACTACTAACTTGTTGGAGAGCACCAAATCTACATATGAAGAAACCGAATTTGAAGTCGGATACATCAACCACAAATTAAAAAACCTTTGCTCTGTTTAGTATGGTTTATATCTAAATGCTACCACCTAACTTTGGTTTTAGGACAAATGAAAAAACAAAAATGATCGTATAAAGGTTGTCTCATGCAGGAAAAAAATATAAGTCTATATAGAGAAGCTTCAAGTGCAGATGAAAAATATACAATAGTATGATTTGAAACTAACCTCCCAAAAGGATTACATCGGATCCGTCTTGAGTGGTCATTCCACCAGATTGCCAACCAAAGCAGTACATGTCTTCCTGTTGGAGAGCTCAATTTGTGGATGAGACTGACAAAAATGCTTAGGCAAAACACGAATGTTCTGTCTATATAAACACATGCAAGTAGGAAAATGCTTTCTCTGTATTGACTTACACGAAGTGAGAAAAGATAGTCGTGAGGATAAACAGTCAGTTTGAGTGAGTCTTCGAAATGAAGATTGACTACCGGAAATGCTTTATCTGTGCTGCAGGTACAAGGAAAAATATATTATTAGAACATCCACTTAATAGTTTTTTTTTTTTAAAAAAAAGAGGTAACAGTTCAGATCTTTAGGAAGAAGATGTATACATGCTAGAAACAGGAAGCAATTCATCTTACTTGGAAGTGAAACTGAAACACGCAAAAGTCTCCTGTACCATGTGAAGTTTTACCGGTGTCCGAGCAGTGATCTATATATTATTTGCAGGAAATAACATGTCAGGTCGTTGGCACAAAAAAAAAAAACATGTCAGGTCTGTGGTTTTGAACTAGAAACAAAGATTATCGCACCTGTTTAAGAAGTGAGTTGTATAGATCCTGTGGTAAGTAGGCTAAAGTTGTACCGCTGTCAATTATGGTTCCTCCACTCCCGCCGAAACTAGCTATGCTTGGTGGGAGGTCAATAGGTTCACCATCCACATCTATTCCCTTTAAAATGACATTGTAGTGTACCCTAAAATATTGTTGGATCAAGTTATTATAACAAAGAAACAAGAGAGTAGTTAGTTGGTTACTTCCTAGATCGATCATAACTAACAGAAGTAGCTTCGCCCACTTACTGATTAGGAACTAAAGGAGTTGTTTTCACCAATGGAGACTCCACTTCCCCAACAGCGAAAATGCCACCTCCATTCACATTGTCTAAGCAATGTGAGAAGACCCTCTTGACATTACCCGAGGCAGCTAGTTGCGAAATGATTGAGGTATTTGCTTGTCCAAATCCCATAATTCCATCAACGGCTGAGTCGGTTTGCCCAAGTTGCCCAGACTGATTACTTCCACAACCAAATACCACTTCCTGGGAAAGGGGTGCAGTTCGGAGGTTTCCAGTGACTTGATCCAAAGTAATGTTATCCTTGACAAAATCACCATCACTTGTGCTTCCATCTCCATACACAACACGATAGCTACATGGCTTCTTCTTTGGTTCGCAAGTGTCTGATTGTGAAATGAAGGAACAGAAATCATCTTCACATCCAACTTTCTTCCAAGTAGAAGAAGCTTTTGAGTCATACAACCTTAGAGGTATCTGCGTAGCAAAAAACATAAAAGATGAAATGATCTAAAGCTCAAAAAGTTCAAAAAGAAGCATTGCATACACCGAGATCAGTTTTGACAGGACATTTGGGACAAGGTGCACAATTGACCCATAGTATATCACTTCCTGTATCAACTTGAACATGGTAATCCTTTGGCGGTGATCCAAGCTTGATTTTCGTGAAGTACAAACTGAAATAATACACAATAATGTAATTATGATCACATTCTATCTTAGAGATAGCGCAATTTTAGACTGGAGAAGAAGAGCTTTACCCAATTGAATCAGCGCGGCTATCCCCGCCGAGAGGGAGATCAACGTTCGCAAGCATTCTAGCGTGACGGAAGCTGTCGTGAGACTTGATCTCCGATAGCTGCTTATCTTTTCCGGCAAACTTATGCGTCACGTTAAACACGAAATTGCCGCTAGCCAATTGGATCAACGCCATGAATACACCCCCTATAATGCGTAATGTTAGGCTCAGATCCATCACCGTCGTTAATAACCAGAGATTATCTCTGCTCCGAGAAAGAAAAAGGAAAATAGATAATAGAAATATTTGTACGTATTGACTTTTTCTTTCTGAAAAATTTCTTTTTGATTGGTAGCTAAATTGAATGTCAAAACCTAAAGGAAATGAATCAATAGAGGAAGGGAGGGAAGAGAGGAAAACGCATGAGAAAGCGACGCGTTTTCACCGGTCAAATAAAAGCATATTTAGGGAAGTTTTTATAATGGAGTTTTCCCTTTCTTTGTCTCTCCTCACTTCTCTCTCTTTTCACATCTCCACGTTTTCCTCACATACTTTTTTTTTTTTGATAAAAACGTGTGTGAAAATGAAACACGAATAAAGCTATAGTCATATCAATAAATAGTATACACATTTTTCATTATTTGGACGAAAATTCTCATGTGAAAAAGCAATAACGCAGTATACTATATTATAAACAAAAATTATAATACTATATTATATTATCAATTATATTTTACATTTGAGATGTGATACCTTCTTTTTAACTCTTAATTTTGCTCCATAGTGAAACATGATTTAAGCCAATACTGACTCACAAGATAACACTACGTAAGATTATTCACGCCTCATTCGGGAACAATTTATGTGAAGTATAACTTCTAGGAAACACTCTCAAACTAACTTATCTTAAGGAATTTAATATTTGAAACATTTGAAGTTCATATGCAGTTTTTTTTAAGTTTTAATTACTCTAACTAAAATTTTGATATGCGCTTTCAAAACATAAAACTTTTTAAAATAACATAAATCTACTTTATATTTACTAATACTATAGTAATATTTGAGAGAAAAATAGTTGATGATGTCGTTTACCATGGAACTAAAAAAAGTTAGAAATGCATCTGTAAACAATGTATGTGAAAAGTTGTGTTAATGTGAATGAATGGTGTGGATACTAATTTCTACGCTTACTATTTTTTGATTAGATTTTAGGCAATAATATGAATGCTGAGATAAATTCTACAGTTGATTAAATTTTTTATGAATATTCTAAAATGAAATCACTATTAATTAAAAACGTTATATAACATTCAAATTTTTTTTATCTAATTCTTTGGATAATATTTTTAGATTTTTAGAAATCAATGATTATATTTGTATGCATTATTAATATAATTGTTTGCATAATGGTTACATTTGTTTGGCTGAGAGGAGATTTATGATATACCTAAAGATATTTTTTTGATCAACTTAAATAGACTTAATTAAGACTATACAAACCAAATCGGTAGTTTTGTGTCTAAATGAACGACATAGGACAATTGATTACTGACACTCGTGCAAGATTTTCCGCTTTTGTATTATGCATGCGAGAAACATGTATAATCTCCAAGTGACTAAAACTCTCATTTAGGATACGTATATCTTCCAAATATGTTGGAAAAGCAGGTCATTCTTTTGGTTCTACAACCATCTTCACCAGCTAAACACAACTTGTCGCAAATGTCACATGAAACTGTTCTAATTCTTTGTTATTTCCATTATTCAAATGAGTGTTTCTATCTCTGTATGTAGGGGTGAAAAGCTGACTCGTATTTTGTGTCCCATGAGTACCTCAATATCTCCAATATGCTATACCATCTTTCTTCCATTTTTTCCCCCTTCTCCTTCCATGATGAACCCACAATAAAGCATCCCTGACACGGTCTTTGAGATAAGCATGACGTATCCTCCACACTACTTGATTGGATAATCGATTGTGATACCTCCACATGCGCCTCGTTCGAAAGTGTCGCTTTATGTTGTTAAAAACCATGTTATTACATCCTTTTCAAATATACCATAAAGTACATGTAAACTGATAATTTTTCATTTGCAATGATATTCTCCAAAATATATAATTCATGTTTGCACAAAGTGATTGTAGAGGGAAATTGTTCAGGTTCTAAGGATCACTGAGAGGGTCCATGTCTGGACCGTTGGTGGAACAAAAACACATGATTAGTTGTTTCCTCCTACACATTGCATATCACATTGTATATCTCCAGTAGATCATGAAGTTGCAGATGCAAACATCTATCATCTCCGATGGCAATCCAAGACTATAAACCAATTTCTGAATCTCATAATAAGATTCAGCTGTCACGTTGTTTTCTGGCAAATACTCTTTAAACAACTCGGTCCATGCATCCATGCAATTCTTAGATAAATTATGATCCGTTTTAATATTCATCATCCTAACTGCTAGAGACAATTTAGAGTGACCTTCTCTACAACCAGTGTAGATTGGTGGATTTGCAGCATCTAGCATTTCATAAAACCTTTTTGCATCCAAATTAGGTTCTTCAACATTTCAAGTTTTATCAGCTATTGTTGTAGTAGTTTCTAAAAATGCATCAGTAATCATGTCGTGAACCCTATCATGATCTACCATATGTTCAGCAGAGTGATTTTATTCGTTATGCAAATGATTTGGTTCCTCATTAATACCAACCTTCTGAAAATTACTATTACTACTACCATTAGCTTCATTTCTTCCATAAACCTGTCCATGTCGAAACCAATTATAGTACTGTGGTGTAAACCTCTGTGTACTAAAGGTTTCCATACAATTTTAGTACGGGAAAATTTTGAATTCTTGCATTTCCGACAGGGATAGAACATCTTACCACATTCCCGCGTGAGCGGTGTACAGCCTGCCTGGTCATGAATATCTCTAGCCCACCAAGAAATGCATTCGTCACTCTACCGTCAGAATCTTTATGCATATACATCCAACTCCGCAATTCAAAATTATTTTTTCCATCAGACATTTTTTGTAGTTTTTTTTGGTTTGTGTGTTGATATGGAATGAGAATACTCATATGTATAGAAATATTTTCGAGTTTGGTAGGTAAAAAAATTACTAAGTATTTACAAGGAAAGATTTACTATGATTTTACATGTCCCTAACATATTGGTTACAACGCATTTACAACGAATTAAGTTAGATGAACAACATTTCACCTAACAACTTTTGTTGTAATGTAGTTTTAAATTTACAACTGCATTACGGCGAATGTATAAGTATTAAAAAAATTATTGGATTTTTTTCCAAAAAAACTAAAGGGAGTGCACGGTCATCGGAACATTTTTATTAACTCCTCATAGCTATTCATCGACTTCTCAAGGAAAAACTATGTGGAATTGATAAGAACTGTTCTGGTGACCATGTACTCCTTTCAATTTCTAGAAAAATTGATACATAAGTCGTAGTAATTTTTTCCTTAGTTTTTTCATCTTTGTATTTCTTTGTGTGTTGTTTGGATTGAGGAATGACACATATATATAGGAAATTATCGAGCTTGGTTCGTAAATGTGTAACAACGAATTTACAAGGACAAGTTTTACTAGGATTTTATAACTCTTTCATATCTGCTTGACAACGTTTTTACAACGGAAGTAGTTGGGTTAAGAACACATTTTTATTTAATGTACCGGTTAAAGGATTCGTCGTAAAATCCTAATAATTTTACTTTGGATTTACGATGAAACTTCTAATTCCTAGTACCTTCGTCGTAAACGAAGATGTAAATTACGACAAAATGATTTTTTTGTAATTGTACTAGGACTTTACGATGAATTATAAATTCCTCGTAAAGTAGTAGTAAACAACTTGTAAAATTACGAGAAAATATTTACCTTGTAAATCGTCCTCATTTTTTTTTTAACAAAGAAATGTTATTCTGTTACTCAAATTTGAGGGGGCATGGGTAACCATACCGGAATAGAATAACCAATAAAACCTAACTCCCTATGGAAAGATTTAGCAGTTTTAGCTAAGAAATCAGAAATCTGATTTTTCTCTCGTGGAACATGAGTAGTCTTGAAGTCTGGGAAGCATATCTGCAGAGTCTCTATCCTCTCCAATTCCGTTGCAAAGCATGGCCATGCATGAGGTTCCTTGATCATGGTGATCAGGTCCTTACAGTCTGTCCCAAAACTTTGGTAAGTCGAATATTGAAGCATATTCTCCATCACCCATCGCATTGATTAAGTAATAGATAAGTATTTGGTTAGTTGAGTTTGTGTTGTAAATGTGAGTTTATGTTGTAAATGTACAAATAAAATAGGCTAACCTATTTTATATTTATGAAGTAGATCATGGTCCTATCTGATTTTGAACCAGCCATATTTTGTAAGTTATGGTAGCTTCTTATGATTGCTGACACTTCACACCATATTTATGTAGAGGGAAATGCTACTAACATACATATATGGATATAAGGATCTGGGATAACAGAAGAAGTACAAAGAGGTGTCACATGGTGGAATGATAAACTAAAATGACATAAAGCTAAGTTTATTATGAATTTTTGTATAACGTTTTGCTCAGAGTATATGATAAATTATTTATTCTAAAGTTTGTTTGAGTTTTATACAGAACGATCACACAATGAACCTATATATAGAGTTACTGTTCTTTTTTTTTGAAACACAAATAGTTAAAATAAATAGCTTTGCAGTTTTTTAAAAAAAAATAAAAAATTTGCACATA